GCCTCGATGTTCGTGAAGTTTAAGCGAAATCTGTAAGAGCGTTATCGAGATATTTTGGGATCAAGATTTTGTGGTTAGAAATACGTTAAAAAATGGATAATCTTGATGTTCGGCTGTTATCTGTAGAAGATGAAGCGCTTTTGACATGCAATTTCACCTGATAGTAGTTTCAATCTTTTTAAAAACGTGTGTGAAAGACCATGGAGATAGCTCCAGCCGATTGCTAGAAAGAAGGATTTGATTAGTATGTATCGAGGCGCTTTTGTTAGCGGTTTTTGAACATCTTGGTCTACTTTAACAAATTAGCGAATAATTTTTAAACCACGCGATAGATTTTTTTCAAAAAATAACTTTCTTGAGATTAACCTTCCTTTTATATGACTCTTTAGTTTCAAGATTATTGATATATTGTAAGGCAGTAAAATAAGGGCTACAATTCGCCAATATTTTGGCAGAAATTTTGTGTTTACAAATGTGAGCCTCTCATTATTCAGGGTATTGTCTCCAAGTTTCATATTTTCGCGCATAACAATAGCTAGCATTTTTGCATATGTCAAATGCATTGTTAGTTACTGTTGTTCACGTGAAAGTGAAACTTGGAGACAATGCCGCCTTGAAAAATGAGAGGCTTTCACTTGTAATAACGAAACTTCCGGTAAAAAAGTAACGAGTTGTAGCCCTTATTTTACTGCCTTACAATGTATCAATAATCTTGAAACTAAAAGGTCACATAAAAGAAAGGTTAATCACAAGAATCTTAAAACTATTTTCATGGCAAAAATGAGAGGAACTTCTCACAGTCTACACACACACGTAAAAAACACCTTTATTCTGCATGTTCAAATCTTACTTTAAAATAGTTATTTTGATCCTAGGTTCTCATACAGAAAGACCTCTCAGTTAACTTCAAGTCGAGTACTTTCTTCGCTCGCTTTTTGCTTTGCGTTATGTGGAAAATATTTAACCAAAGACTCAAAAAAATACACTCGTTGAAACCAGAAAAGAGGAAACGCCGCACTCATTTTTGTTTACTTTCGAGTAAAGTCACTTTTTTGATGATGCGAACGAGCGCGTGCAAAAGAATAAAATTACCGTCGTCACAATTTACCATAGCAACCAGTTCTTTGCCATGGAAACCGTTAGCTGCAAAAGGATTTGTCTTTTTATGCAGAGTGAAACTTTTTTTCAAAGCGTACTTGTTGGAAAAACTTACCAATAAATCAACAATGACGAAAGAAAACAATGTGGATCAAGAGGGGCGGTCGAACAAACGTCCTCGTTTAGCGGAAGCGAAAATCTCTACCTACTTCAAAAATGTTGTGGAATCGAGAAAGGGAAAGAGTCAGGCGGTTAAAAAAGTAAGCTGGATGACAAAAACAAAAAGTCCCTTAATTCTATATGGTCTATATAGTAAGTTTACATTATTGTACGAGGTATAGTCAACTTATAAAAGCTTCAAGAATGAAATAAAGTAGAGAGGAAAATGTTAATGGAAATTCTCACCGTTACTTAGCAAATTTTCCCTCATTTAATCAGGATCGACAAATGACACATATTCCCTGTATATAGATAAGTATAATTGTCGAGTTATAGTCAGGATTACAAGGATGGAATTATATTAAAGTTCGCTACATTAAAATGCCACTTGACCAGCCCAAACTTAAGCTCGAAATTATAGTTTTGTGAACGTAACTTTTTTTGAGTTCATATTCATATGATTTCGTTTGCAAACATCCATGTTGTTGTTCTCCTTCCTCTAGCAAGATCATAACAAGTCACATCCCTCTAACCACATCCTGTAAAGTTTTTTTTTATATAAGCCTAAGAAAGAGATCCTTTTAAGACGCACCGAAATCAGTCAACAGAGGAAATTTTCGAAAAGTCTGAAAACTTACCACGTCTCCTCCATCATATACTTTTGTCGTTCATTTCCTCTCTCAGGATGTGAAACGATATGTCCAAAGGACACTCTCTCGTTTTGTGTTTTCAACACACAAAAAGACAGGAAAGACCAAGAAAGGTACATTTCAAAAAATGGCGGACGACCAGCACTTGAGCTCGACAAGTCAATCAATAACGCTCTCCCCAGGTCCCGGATTGGTATTTTTATGGATACTAAATTTAATGCAGGGCAAACGTGAAATATTTTTTGCATTCTTCTTGGTTCTTTCTTATTTTAGGAAACAAACGGGGTTAACAAAAGCAGCCAGGACCAAGCTGACCTTTTCCCGATATCGATGTCGAATTTGTCGAATTCTTCCTCCCAAGAACAAGAAGAGATCAAACCCGAAATTGTAAACAACATCAACTCGGAAGGTAAATGAAAAATGAAAGCAGGTCGTGATCGACTACACTTAGGAACATTAGAACTCAAACCTATCCGGGTGTCTGATTAACTCCCGGTAATATAGCGATGTTTTCAGACAACCCATATCATAAAATTTCGGGAGGGGAAGGCATCTGCAGTAGACAAGCATCCCATTCGAAGGAAGAAGCCGTAATATCAAGCAGGTCCTGACGACAGAAATCGACTTTAGCTCTGGCCACGTGGGCCAGAGTTAAATGCTTGCTTATTATCCCTTTCTATGGTCTTTCTAAGGGAGAATGATAGGCGACATCATTTTAAGTCCAACGTTTTTATGGTCTTTCTAAGGGAGAGTGATACGCAACATCATTTTAAGAACAGCCTTTTTAAAATGTCTAAAAAGTGACAGGAAACCAAACTGGTAGACTTGCTACAAGTCGATCTCTTGGCGAGCGGAGCGAGCCTTTTTTGGCCGCAAAGTGGCCGACCGCGAGCGACGAAGTCGCGAGAAGTCCCGCGCCATATGAAATCCGGCGAAGGACTTTTTTGAAAGTCTACTAAACTGGCAGTATTTGAGCTAAAAATGTTGTTATTTACAATGATGACAGAAGAGTTGAACTGGGAACTACCACCAGAGTGATACCGAGGGATACTCGAACACCGGACTGGCGATTATGATTCCTTGGCCCTGATTCCATAGGCTTACCGCAGTATATCCAAGAAAGAAGCGCTATTTCGATTTACGTTTCGCTAACCAGACATGCTTATGGAGGTTTTTGCAATTTAGATGAGTTATGGATTAGCTTCGCCCGTGGAAATCTGGCTTGTGAGCGGCCATCCTTTGTTAGGGTCCAATATACCACCTCTGAGCCTTTTGTTTCTCTTCGGTGGTGTGGTCGTTCACTGATTCGCGACGAAAATATTTCAAACAAAGAATTTCATAATATCAAAACTCTTGTGCTGGTTTTAACTTTATGGA